TGATGGCAATAAAATTAGGTGTGCATTGTTTTTTTATGTTTAGAGCGGTTCTGCGCATATTCGTTTGACCGAATACGCGGGGGACATCTGCTTTTGTGTGAATGAAGCCTTTAGCTGGCCATAGACTCTCGTTCGATTCTAGCTCAAATAGCCCATCATCCACAAACCAATGTCGTTTCGATAATCGTACATTAGCAATACCACCTCACCGAATTTCGTCGATCGGCAGAACGGATTTTCGTTTGCGTATGTGCAGTGTTCATGTTGCGATTTTTTTCGGATCAATTCGAATCCATTGATTTTTCGTACAATTCGAAAAGTGTTCCAGGATGAACGATCGACGAAATTCGGCCAGTAGTACAGTAAAAAGAAATCATTGGGTTCCCATCAACTGATCGATTATCAATCGAAAGACCATTTGTGGATGATTTCCGAACGATAATCGATAGGTGTATGGGCACCTTTAGGCCTCATTCACACAACTAAGAGCCGGCCTGTACAGATCCATGCTGCGTGCACCGCTGTTTCAGGCCGCTCCCGGGAAGGACAGGTGCTGTGTGTGATTAGTACGCAGCAGCCTGTTCTTCCCTATGGGAGGGCGCGGCTGTACGCTCACCTGAACTGCACATCCATGCGGGTGTCCGTACTCGTACGCAGACAGAATGGATTCTGTCAGTGTCCAAGCAGGGACACTTACACCCGCATGGATGTGCAGTTCGGGTGAGCATGCGGCTACGTATGGCCGCGTACTCCCATAGAGAAGTACAGACTGCTGCGTACAAATCACACGCAGCACCTATCCTTCCCGGGAGCGGCCCAATATGGGTCTGTACGGGCCGGCTCTTAGACCTGCTAAGGAACAGATGATTTTTATTATGCCCTGATACATAAAACCATAGAATTCAAAGGGGGTGTACTTTCTTTTTCACACAACTGTTGATAGTAGCAGCTCTGGGAATGTAGCTGGTGGGGCTGGGAGGTAGAAAAATATTTCTGAGTGAGCTACAATGTAAAAAAAAAAAATTCTTGTACTTGGTGAACAATGCTAAAACTTTTTTTGCTGACAATAGCACACTGAATGTTTTTCATGTCAGCATGACATTTTTTACCTTTTTGGATGCATCGCTTAATGTTTGTCTTACAAAAAAGGATGATAAATGCGAATGAAAACATCTTTGTAGTTGTCAGAGCCGGCGCACAGCGCGATAAGGGCAAGCGCACTTATTCCTCCTGGCTCCGTCTCCCTTTGTGTGTGATTGTCCTTTTGGGTCCTCTTCGTAGGGGTATCTAATAGGAGGCTTCAGATCTGTCATGTTCTCTCTGTTGGATGCCGGGTGATTGATGGTGTTTTGTGCGATCGCTTGTCTGATGGGAATGCTCCTGGGACCTAATTGTGCAATGTGTGCACGGTGCGACAAGGGGCGGGGTGTGGCGGTGGGCTGTGGTAGAGGGAACCGGAGGGCACGGCTCTTCTCTTGTTTGGCTTGTCAAAAGGAAACTGTAGCGGATTATCCGTAGATACACATATGATTTATTACAGGTATTTATAGAACGCTGACAATGTACACATCGCTTTACATGCGGAAAATTCCCATCAGTCCCTGCGCTCAGAGCTTACAATCTTAGGTCCCTATCTCACATACATACAAGGGCCACTTTAGACGGGAGCCAATTAACCTTCCATCATGTCTTTGGCGTGTGGGAGGAAACCGGAGTACCCGGAGGAAAACAGTAAAAAAATGAAAAACAGTTACCAAAGAGGTCCCTGTCTCCCACTCACTCACGTCTGGAGACCTAAAGGTTCTCGAGCGGCCATGAAAGATCATGGGGCGGGCGCATGTGCAGTAAAGATCTTTGGCCTCCTATTTGCAAAAATACAGAATTCCTTGCTCGCTCTGTAATTAAGGACTATGTCGGAGTCACGGTGGCTCACCTACTTGACCAAAATATGGCAAAGAATTCTTCATATATTGGCCAAATCTATCTCTACAACCCAAATTAGTAGACCAAAATGTCCAAAGCAGTCTTTATAAATAGGCAAAGCAGTCAGATATGCGTGTTTATCATTGATGACATTTATTATAATGGGCTCAGCAGGTGTACAGACCCGTAAACGCAGCACAGGGATGGTGTGAACCTTTCATAATAGGCATAGCAGGTGTATGAACCCGGGAACCCAGTGTAGGGATGGGGGGAGCTCCTCCATAATGGGCAAAGCGGGTGTACAGACCCAGGAACTCAGCACAGAGATGGTGGGAATCCCTCATAATGGGCACAGCGGGTGTCCAGACCCAGGAACTCAGTACAGAGATGGTGGGAATCCCTCATAATGGGCACAGCGGGTGTCCAGACCCAGGAACTCAGTACAGAGATGGTGGGAATCCCTCATAATGGGCACAGCGGGTGTCCAGACCCAGGAACTCAGTACAGAGATGGTGGGAATCCCTCATAATGGGCACAGCGGGTGTCCAGACCCAGGAACTCAGTACAGAGATGGTGGGAATCCCTCATAATGGGCACAGCGGGTGTCCAGACCCAGGAACTCAGTACAGAGATGGTGGGAATCCCTCATAATGGGCACAGCGGGTGTCCAGACCCAGGAACTCAGTACAGAGATGGTGGGAATCCCTCATAATGGGCACAGCGGGTGTCCAGACCCAGGAACTCAGTACAGAGATGGTGGGAATCCCTCATAATGGGCACAGCGGGTGTACAGACCCAGGAACTCAGCACAGAGATGGTGGGAAACATAGATACTGACCCTTCAGAAGTCCCTCCACCAATATAAAATGTCACTTTTGCTGTGAGTGTGAGTGTTCTGAAATGACACAGTCGTGCTCGTACCTGTCTGCAGATATGAAAAGCGGTAATGGAGGATTCAGGACGTGTGCGGCTACCGTCTATGTGTAGTCCATGCTGGTCCCATCATCCTGCAGATCAGCCACGTGTCTTAATAGTCAAATTCTGTACCAGTGATATGGAAATCTGTTCCCTACCCTCTTCCTGCAGACACATCAGCCGTTCTGCTTTAAAGAGAAACTGGCGTATTTGCATGAGCAAGCATTTTAAGTTAAAGCGGACATTGCGGTACAATGCAAGGTGCTCATTAGAGCTGCAGCTAACGATTATTTTCAAAATCGATTATTAAGTTTGATTTAATCAGATAAAAAATAAAATACATTTTAAAAAATGGCTCCAGTGATGGGACTTCTAGTTTGTATTGAGATTGTAGTCCATCACAGGAGCAAGCTTGGAGCGGTGGAAGTAAAAAAGAAAAAAAAAGTGTGGTGTGCAATATAGTGAAATGAAAAGTGTAAAATTATACAGCAATGAATGCAGAAGGGCACCGGCTTTAGAGGACTACAAATCCCAGCAATAGTACATTATACAGCGCAATACAGAATACCACCAGCAATAGAGGAATACAACAAATCCCAGCAATAATACATTATAGCTGGTGGTATCCTGCATTGCGCTGTATAATGTATTATTGCTGTGATTTGTAGACCTCTATACAGCGCAATGCAGAATACCACCAGCTTATATAGGAATACAACAAATCCCAGCAATACATTATAGAGCACCACGTGTGGGAAAGTGCAGGCTTACCTGAGCAGTTTTCCAGCAACTTCTTTCTGAGATCGGGCCTGTCTATCGGCGGCTGTCATCCCCACACACCTGCTCCACGCTTCTTCTCCCCACGTCCCTGTGCCGATCGTGGATTTGGGTGAGTGTGAGGCAGGGAGGAGGTGCGGCATGGATGCGGGCGGTTCTGGCAGCGGGGAGCGTGCGGTGGGGAGGAGGTGCGGCGTGCAGCGTGTGTGGAGCCGTGAACAGGGCCAACCAATCGGAAGCCGATTAATCGATGATTGAAAAAGTTGACAACTTTTTCAATAATCGATTATGTCGATTAGTTGTTGCAGCCCTAGTGCTCATACATTGTCCAGGCCCCCCTCACCTTTCAAATCTTCTGATGCTAGTAGGTGCAAAATGTAGCTGTAAATAATAATAATAAAAAAAAGAAATTTGGATTGATATTGGAAGATCTCCTGTCTTCCTCCCAGTTCCTCACACCCAGCATTGCATAAGACCAGGGGAATTATAGATCCTTTTTTTTTTTTTTCTTTACAGGTACATTTTGCACCTGCAGGATAATTTTGAAGGGGGGAGGGGGGGGAATCAGGAGGGTTCTATGCATTTTACTGCTAACGTCTACTTTAAAGTAGAACCAACCCCTTACAGAAGTCCTGGGGGGCGCACTCTTTGTCCTACTCTGTAACTTCTTTAGTCTTAAGATGCTGCCTCTGCAAAGGGGTGACACAGCGGCTCTGGCCTGGACACCACCCACAGGGTGACCCAGCAGTACTGAAACCCTAGATGACTGCATACTCTTCCCACCTATGTTTAATCAGACTCCTCCACTGGGCTACCTGTTGTGAGCAGACCGGGACAATTTTATTGCCCACACCAGACCCCTGTCCCTTACCACATTTACACAGTGACAGATGTACCGGCTGTCACAACAGATACTGTTAGATGGGATAGCAAATGGAACGGCTTTAGTCAGGTCCCATTAACTTCAGGAGGGGGAAGCCTTATAGTGTGTTGTGCATTTGTATTGATGCATTAGCTTATTCATCCTACAAAACCATATGTATGTTTGTTCTGTGCAAGTTAACCAGCTGCTGTGAGAATGGGGCAAAATCAAATGTTCTTGGTGTATTTTCTCTTGTGGTCGAATGTTCTTCAATAGGTCAATTCATAAAGTGAGTGAATGGGGAAAATAGTACATTATGGCCACTATATGGAGCTGAGGATCATGGGAAATGAAATATATGTTGGTAGCGAGATACAATGTTGCAATTCTAGAGAATGCTGGAGAGAATGACATTAATGTAACTATCCCCCCCCCTTAGTAGCGATGGTTACATTTATATGCTGGTGTTTGGATCTGTATTGTATGTCTGGAGTATTAATCGTACTTTCTGTATCTCTTCCAGGGAACACGGTCAGTAACCTGATTATGATTATACCTCCGTTATATGGAGCAGTGCGGACCGTACAGGATGGTCATGAAACCAGATACTTAGTTGCCTATCTGGGTCTAGCAGGTGAGGGATCTTTTGATTCTGCGGAACATTTAACACCATTATAGTGTCTCTAAACCCAAAAAGAAATGTCATTTAATTCAGCTTATAAATTATTAAATGAGGTGTCTGCATTAGTTTTCTATTTTCAGGCTTTTCCCTTAATTTTCTTCTAGGTAAGTAGTAGGGATGCACCGATACTAGTATCGGTATCGCTGCTTATGGTGAGTACATGCTCCGATGCCGGAACTTTCAGTCAGAGGGAGATCCTGCTCTGACCGGCAGTGCCGAGGGAGCATGGAGCCGGCTTCTTTTCCAATCAGGAAGCTGGGCGGTGGGTTATGACACGGCTTCTTGATTGGCTAGGAAGCCGGCTTCACGTGTTGCTAAGCAGCCTGGCTTCCTAACCAATCAGGAAGCCAGGTGGCACGTCATGACTCGCGTCCCGGCTTCCTGATTGTTCAGGGAGCTACGCTCCCTAGATACAAGTGAAGCTGGCTTCCTGGCTAATCAGGAAGTTGGGAGGCGGGTCATGCCGCGCCACCCCCGGCTTCTTCATTTGCTAAGCAGCCTGGCTTCCTAACCAATCAGGAAGCCAGGTGGCACGTCATGACTCGCGTCCCGGCTTCCTGATTGTTCAGGGAGCTACGCTCCCTAGATACAAGTGAAGCTGGCTTCCTGGCTAATCAGGAAGTTGGGAGGCGGGTCATGCCGCGCCACCCCCGGCTTCTTCATTGGCTAGGCAGCTTGGCTTCCTAAGCAATCAAGAAACCGGACGGCACCTCATACCTCGCCGCCCGGCTTCCTGATTGGTCACGAAGCCAGGCAACCTCCTGAAGTCGGTGTTCTTTCGCTAGAACACTGGCTTCACAGGCAATCAGGTTGACTAATCTTGATAGTCGGGCCCAATGCACACCGGTACTTGGTATTGGCATGTACTGAAAAAATAATATCGGTACTTGATACGGAAAAACCAGTTTCTGCGCATCCCTAGTAAGTGGTAAGTTGCGCCTAGTAATTGTTTTTGCTCTGTGCCCTCTCTCCCCTCTACTCTGCCTGCGGTATGTGCCTCGTCTTCCTCACATCTAATACAGGTGAATGGACCTGCATTAGATGTGATGATGTCACAGGTCCTTAGATCACCTGAGCCCTGCAGGGGAGAAGAGACTGCGGAGACCGATCTAGCAGCCAGGCAGGACCGAGAATCGGTATACCTTCTTTAATCCAGCCCTTAGACTAGGGGTGGGCAACTCCGAACCCTCCAGCTGTTGTGGAACTACAAGTCCCATGAAGCACTGCAATACTAACAGTTACAGGCACGACTCCCAGAGGCATGTTGGGGTTTGTAGTTAAAGCGCAGCTGGAGGGCCTGCCCTAGACTAAAACTAGCAGTTAACCCTTGCAGTACGGGGTAGCCCTATTCAAGGGTTAATTCTTCTTCTTTCATTTTATGTAATTTTGTACAATCGATTGAGATCAATAAACAGAGTTTTAAGAAAAAGTTGGTACCTCCCGTGGATCATACAGGAAATGGTATACAGGTTTCCAGAGGGCAGTCCCAAAATACATCCCAGAATGCACCATTTCTTAGTGGAAGGCCTGACTCCATTATGGGATACGTCGTGACGAGGAAGCGCCGGGATTTCAAGGAGCTGGTAATTATACGGGGTGTGTCATCCTTTTTAGATGCGGGGTGGGTGTGGGAAATGCGGAGATCGGCGTACGAGTCTGCATATGTTACAAAACGTCTATTAGTGTGAAATCTCCCCGATCAGAAACCAGTTTTTCTGGAAGATCACAAGGAAAAATAAATACAATTACTCCGTCTCAGCGGTGATGTCACACACAGTTATGGGAAGCAAACTTTTTCCGTTACAAGCATTGTAGGACGGGCCGCTGGACGATTTCAATAATGGGTGCACCTTTGTTATAACAATAATTCTGCTCTTCTCGGATGACAAAATAAGAACTTCTGTGTTTGTCATGTTTATATGGCACATGCCTTCAGTGGTGTGTCCTGAAAGCATGTACACAGAAGAAGCATGCTGAGGAAATGGAATGTTTTCAGTCACTGCAGGAATGGAGGCCTCTCTGGTATGCTTCTGGTCAACACGAACCAATTGGCGGCTTGTGCTGCTTCTTATTTTATCCTCCAGCCCTGCTGTACAGGAACTAAAGAGGCTGATAATAGGTCAAATCCAGGAGCTTACAATGTGTGCATTTTAAAAGCATAGCAAGTCCCAAAGTGTGAATATTCTTGATGTGTAGATATATATGAGTGAGATATGCATCAGTTCACTTTATTTCTGTCCGTTTGCCCATTTAGGCGGCAGTGACTGCAAATAATCCCTTCCACCTTGGCCCGTCATGCCTACTGAGCCACCTTCCCACTGAAACCCTTACTAATGGAGCGGGGCTTCCTGGTACCGGGAAGCACATGACCTCCCCATGTGACAATCCTCAGGCCTTCACAGTCAATCACCGGGCTTGGATCTGTTCACTTTATTTCTGGCTGTTTGTCCATTTAGGTCACAGTGACAGTGACTGCAAATATCCCTTCCACCCTGGCCATCATACCTACTGAGCCCCGCTCCCACTGAAACCCTTACTAATGGAACAGGGCTTCCTGGCACCAGGCAGCACATGACCTTCCCATGTGACAATCTTCAGGCCTTCGCAGCCAATCACCAGGCTTGAATATAGTCACTTGAAGTGGTCCATGTCAATCATCCACCTCTCTAAGCTCTGACAACAGCCACCCCCAGAGCTTAGACAGGTAATAAAGTATAGAGGGAGTGTGGCTCAGTGGGTAAGCTTGCCGACGAGGGTTGATATGTGCAGACACGGTCACTCTGCCTGATCAGTGCAAAGTGACAATGTCCCTTTAAGCGATGAGTAATTCCTACAACGGCAAGACAGGCCGTAACAAAACCAGAATTTCAGACTTTTCCCACTACATGGGCTTTATTATTTTCATATGTCTCTCTGTATACCACATGGCAGTACTGGGAGCAATAACCATCCCCTCTGTCTTTAATCATTCCTCTTTCTTTTTTTTTTATTTCAGCTGTGGGAATGGGATCCTGGTGCTTCCACATGACGCTGCAATACGAAATGCAGGTAACTGTTAAAGAAAACCAATGAGTTTGGCTGTCATTTGCCATAACTGAGGACTCCACAACGTGTGGATCGTTTCCAATGCCCAACTTTGAAAGCTAGTGGCAGAGTAGATCACACCTTTGCAGAACCTCAGTAATGTGCCAGGCTCTGGCTGGGGTTCGGATTTGGCGTTGGCAGACTTTAGCACCCCCAGACCCTCTCCAACCACACATCTAGCCCTTTGCATTCTTTGTGAGTAACAAATACTGTAATGGGACAAGCATATTGTAGTGTTGCTCCCCACCCTCAGCCATCTCTTGTTCCCTCTTCAGGGAATTGGATCTGACTAGATCAGGGCTGCTTGTCAATATCTTCTCGGCCGGATCTGCACCTGCACTCAGCACTCCATTTATTCTATTGGTGCTTCCATGTAGAAGCCAGTACTTGGAAGCTCCATAGGGATGAATGGCACCATTGGAATGAATGGTGCACCGTGCATGCCCAGGTCTGCCTGGGAAAATGTTGACATCCCGTTCTGTGATTTAAAGTAGGTTATACACAGGTAGATTTTCGAATGAACATTCATGCAAATAAATCCGATCAACGAATGAATGAATGTTCCTGAGCGGAAACCACATTCACTGTTTAGAATCTCGATTGAGAAAAAGTTTCCAACATGCTCCTTCAAATTTTTTCGTCACTGCAATCGAAATCGATCATCGATTTGACCCCTACCAGCGATTAGAAAGTCGAACGGCTCTTCCGAAATTGATTTTTTGTTTGTTTGAAATTCTAACTGTGTATGCCTTTTAGTTATTGATGTTGAGTTGGGGGGGGGGGCTACCATATAAGCTTGACTACATTAAAGTTGTAATTACAATTCAATTGCAATTTAATTTGTAATTTGAAAACGATTAACATTTATTTAATTGTAGTTAAAAGAAATTATTAAATTGCAATTACAAATTAGCAGTTGAAGCTGAACCCTGGGTCAGACATAGGTCTAAAATACAGGAGCCATGTGTTTGCTTTCTTAAGGCAGAACTCCGGGCAAATACATTGTTAACCCTTGGGTAACCCCAGAATGGTTAAGTGCTTGATTTGTCTAGGGAGATAAAATAACAAAGTTATACTTACCCAAACCACGATCCCGGCTTGCCCTTCCAGTGCGCACCTTCAATGATGAATCAATAGAAACCCCCGTTTATTGATCCTGACAGGTTGAGCATGGTCCTTAGGTTAGCTCACTGGTCCCTGGCAGGAAGCATGCAGGCCTATGGGGATGTTTTTATGTAATGTTTGTTTTCTTTTTTTTCTTCTCATCAGCTGCTGGATGAATTGCCCATGATCTACAGCTGCAGTGTCTTCGTCTACTGCCTGTAAGTACCTGAATCTTCATGATTTTGCTTTTGGTGCCATTTTTAAAGCCAAGCTCCATCTAAATAAACAAACAAAATACAGATCTATGAACTGTTCTACCTGCCAAAGGATTTGTAGTTCTGTTCATCCGGTCTGGTGATCCAAGCATCCACACCAGACAGCACATTGGGGTTGGCATGCTTTACTGTACAGTTAGGGAGTACAGCCTGATCAAGGACACACACTGGTTGGACAGAAAAGGAACAGGATCATTATCACAGCTGCGGAAGGAACTTCCCTCACGGTGGCATAATCGTTTTTTTTCACTGGCTGCATTATACCGCAGGCTCCCTTGCTGGCGCCTGACATCTTTTCCCCTGCTTCTTAAGGGGTCTTTGGTGGTCTTGATTGGCCACGTGGTATGATGTAACACCCACACATGCTCACAGGAGTTCATTCATCTCTGCACCAAAGCATGCTCAGCTCAATGTACATTCTAGACAAGTGGTTCTCAACCTGTGTAGCCTCAGGACACACATTTGTCCTCGGTCATTAAGTCGTGACCCAAGTCGCACTGCAATTAAACTTACGGTTTTGTGGTACCGCACGTTCCGGTGCAGGCGATCGAACTGTGGGTGGGAGGAGGGTTTGGGGTACCATTCAAATGAATGGCAACGCAACACACACTCCCACACCAGAATGCATGGTAAGTGCGATTGTGTTGTACAGTGTGTTAATCACACAGGACTGTACAATTAACGCACTGTACTAGTGTGAATGGGCCCTCAACACTGACACACACACACAACCACAGACACAATCTCACACACTCAGACATTCTCTTTTTAAGATCCACCCAAGCTCCCTACCTTACGAGAACTGGAGTGGATCCTCAGCCTGTGGTCCAGTGTGGGCTGCTGTGCTGTGAGAGAGCTCCACCTATATGTACATTGCTTGTACATCTCCCTTGCGTGCCCTGTAGAGGTGCCGGGAGCCTGAATGTGACATCACTCCGGTCCAATCAATAATACGAAATGACCTGCACTCCGTACAGCATACAGACCTTGATGAAAGGTTGGTGCTCGAAGTGACAACACGGATGGCGCCGTGTCAAATATTGTCCATAATAAAAGTCACCAGCAGTCAATATGTACAAGAGGTAAAGCACTTTTTATTAAATTGTCACATGCGTCATACAGCCAACGTTTCGGGACCACGCAGGGTCCCTTCTGGGCGAAATAGTGACCTCAGACCAGGCACCTTTTCAGGACACGTGAGGGAGCTGTAAGCAATGCACTCATGGATAGAGCTCCCTCGCGGCTATAGCCCCATCCCACCTCAACCTGACACTCGGCATCGGGGAGCATATTTTGAATGGCTGCTTGGCGTGAGAACTGACATGTGGTGTTAGAGGAAGGCATGCGGTGACCCACTGAACACAGGGTGGCGACCCACTTTTGGGTCACAATCCACCAGTTGAGAACCAAGGTTCTAAAGCATCTTGCGAGGAGGAAGGTGAGAATCGTTCTATGCAGAAGAGAGATGGCATGCGTCTTCTGGAATGAAGAGCCTGTCTGCTTGCAATTTAGTTCCACTTTAATGAGGTGTATCTCAGAAGGGAGACTTCCACCACTCTGCGACCCTGGAAGATGTATAAAGGTAGAAAGTGTTTCCTACATGTGAAATGTCTCAGCTAATGAACTCTTTGAATAGTCAGGTGCTAGATATGTTCTTACACTGCCATCTCGTGGCCACTTTCATGTCGGTTGGTTTATTACACAGCAAGTGCAGCCTTTCCCAAACTTTTTAACACAGAAGAACCCATGAGATAACGTTCATGTCTCAGGGAACCGCTGCTAATAATTACCGTATCTACAGATTACAGTACATTAGCGCCAACTGTGTGTTGGGACATGACATAAAAGAGGGAGGAATGTGAAATACTAACCCGGGGCTTGTCTACTCAACATTTTTGTGTTGTAATATTAATAATAAACCAATAATGATAATATTGGCCAGAAAAGAAAGGCAGGCAGTGAAAGTTGTATTGTTTTCTTACATTTCCTTGCACGTGGTCATTCGGGGACTCCCTTCACTCGGACTCCCTTCACTCGGACTCCCTTCACTCGGACTCCCTTCACTCGGACTCCCTTCACTCGGACTCCCTTCACTCGGACTCCCTTCACTCGGTAGGAGGAATGCTTCTTACATTGGTGGACAGTGGGAAGAATGTCCCCTACATTGGTGGACAGCGGGAAGAATGTCCCCTACATTGGTGGACAGCGGGAAGGAAGAATGCCCCCTGCATTGGTGGACGGCGGGAAGGAAGAATGCCCCCTGCATTGGTGGACGGGGGGAAGGAAGAATGCCCCCTGCATTGGTGGACGGTGGGAAGGAAGAATGCCCCCTGCATTGGTGGACGGTGGGAAGGAAGAATGCCCCCTGCATTGGTGGACGGCGGGAAGGAAGAATGCCCCCTGCATAGGAGGTCGGCGGGAAGGAAGAATGCCCCCTGCATAGGAGGTCGGCGGGAAGGAAGAATGCCCCCTGCATAGGTGGTCGGCGGGAAGGAGGAATGCCCCCTGCATAGGTGGTCGGCGGGAAGTAATAATGTCCCCTGCATTGGTCGGCGGGAAGGAAGAATGCCCCCTGCATTGGTGGGCGGTGAGAAGAATGCCACCTGCATTGGTGGACAGTGGGAAGGAAGAATGCCCCCTACATTGGTGGACAGTGGGAATGAAGAATGCCCCCTGCATTTGTGGACAGTGGGAAGGAAGAATTCCTCCCTACATTGGTGGACAGTGGAAATGAAGAATGTCCCCTGCATTTGTGGACAGTGGGAAGAATGCACCCTGCATTGGTGGACAATGGGAAGAATGCACCCTGCATTGGTGGACAGTGGGAAGAATGCCCCCTACATTGGTGGACAGTGGGAAGAATGCCCTCTACATTGGTGGACAGCGGGAAGGAAGAAAGTCCCCTACATTGGTGGACAGCGGGAAGGAAGAAAGTCCCCTACATTGGTGGACAGTGGGAAGAATGCACCCTACATTGGTGGACAGTGGAAATGAAGAATGTCCCCTGCATTTGTGGACAGTGGGAAGAATGCACCCTACATTGGTGGACAGTGGGAATGAAGCATGCCCCCTGCATTTGTGGACAGTGGGAAGGAAGAATTCCTCCCTACATTGGTGGACAGTGGAAATGAAGAATGTCCCCTGCATTTGTGGACAGTGGGAAGAATGCACCCTACATTGGTGGACAGTGGGAATGAAGCATGCCCCCTGCATTTGTGGACAGTGGGAAGGAAGAATTCCTCCCTACATTGGTGGACAGTGGAAATGAAGAATGTCCCCTGCATTTGTGGACAGTGGGAAGAATGCACCCTGCATTGGTGGACAGTGGGAAGAATGCCCCCTACATTGGTGGACAGCGGGAAGAATGCCCCCTACATTGGTGGACAGCGGGAAGGAAGAAAGTCCCCTACATTGGTGGACAGTGGGAAGAATGCACCCTACATTGGTGAACAGTGGGAAGAATGCCCCTTACAGAATGTGCAGCACTGGAGCACCCCGCTTCCCCGTAACGTGTGCCGCACTCCTGCACCCACCGTCAGGTCTTGGGCGGCAAAACGTCTATGGACACCTCTGTTCACACAGATCCATCCTAAACATGCTCTCAATCCAAATTGGGTCCTGACCCATAGTTTAGGAAACACTGGACATAGGATTAGAAACACGTTATTGTGATAGAGTGCAAAGACAATATTGGAATTGTATTGGCACAGACAGAGAAGCAAAAGAGGTTTGAAGTGACAGAATCGGAACTAGGTTCAATGTAATGGTAATTTCCCATGTCTGTTGTAAAGTAGTCACTGCTCCAAGCTCCCTCCCGGGATGGACTACAGTCTCAGGTTTAGTTTATTACAATCTAAAAGAGGAGGGGGAAATGATACATGAGGTAGCTGTGGGAATGAATTATGTGAGTTAGGTTAGGTCAAATCATTGTGTTTCAAAATAATAACATTTTCTTTGTATCCTTCACATCAATTCTAATGTGTGATAAATCACTGTGCAATCAACATATATGTGAACAAAAAAAGTATTTGTGATAATTTGACTCTGTGCAATAAATATATATGTGAACAAGAAAGTCTCTGTGATAATTTGGCTCCACTTCAATATAGGTGATCGAGCCTCAAAGTGGTCGGTGGTTTAAATGGTGCTTTTCTGGGGTTTGTATTGTTACCAACACATCCCCCATTCAAAGTGCGTACTCACCGCAATCTTTTGGCTGTAACAGACAGCCCCAAACGTTTTGTCTGATGGAACACGCTGATGCGGCGTCTTTACTGACACGCACTGCACCACCAATCTTCGAAGTGTAGTGTTCATCCAATTGTGCAAAGAAAAAAGTCCTTGATCGTGTGATATTTTCCAGGAGTAGTTTTATTAAAGAAATAATAAAATTCAGTAACAATAAAACGCGTCCGGCCGGTCCGAGAACTATCAAGTTTGGTATGGTAGACCCGCCCCTACGTGTTTCGTCATCGGCGTCCTCAGGGGAGCATGCAGGTCAGGTTAAGTTTATAGACACCAGTTAAGGTGAGTGCTGACATTAACATTGGGAGGAGGGATAAAAAAAATTGACTTTAATGTCACTTTAACCACTTCCAGGCCGCAGTACGTCTATAGGCCGTGGCCCGCAGAAGTGGTTAAAACAAGAACACGGCTGATACAGGGACCATTGGGAACAAAAGTAGCCCCCCTCCAGAAGGAAGGACAGTGTCAGCACCAATTCAGAGATGATTGGAGGATCTACATCCGAGTGATTCACAAATAAGATACATTGGTGTTCATAGTTGAGAAACTTGAATGTATTTTTAGGATTTCACTCCTGAGTTTAGTGTCACTTTAAGCTTTAGGTCATATGAGGGATGTCTGGACCTAATGGCTTTTTTTTCTTCTTCAAAGGTCCCATTTAATTCATAAATTGACATGCCAATGCTGACTTACTCTGTTGATGTAAAGTGTGAATTTCTATAAATCCACTTTGAATATGTTTTTTTTTTCTCTTTCAGATTTGAATGTTTCAAGCACAGAAATTCATATAATTATGTGTTGCTAGTTCTGTTAGGACTTTTCAGTTTAACGGTAACACTAGTAAGTAAAGTTTTTTGTTTTTTTTTTACCTATTTGATATATCGTGTGTGAAATCAATATGCTGCCTGGTACTTTGTTTCAATAACTAAATATGTTAGAAACATAGAGGAGTGACTTCAGAAAAAGACCGAATAGTCCATCAAGTCTGCCTCCTTTTTTTTATTTTTCCTATCCTTTTAAGGGCAGGTTCACAGCATTTTCTGCACCAGATCTGGTCCGGAAAATGGTGTGAACCTGCCTGCAGTTCCTGTGCATTCCAGACCAAACAAAATGAATCATGCAGTATTTTTCTGGTCTGGTCTGGTCTGGTCTGGAATGGACTGCGCTGGTGTGAACAGAGGGCAGAAATAGCATAGGGATACATTGGGATGCATTTTGGGTCCGGAAACAATCGGCTCTGGTCTGGATGAATGGGCCCTCTACCTTTTTGTCTGAGTATAGATCTGTGTTTGTCCCAATCATGTTTTATATTCACTTACTGTTGACTGACCCACTACCTCTGCTGGAAGATTGTTCAACCCATCAACTATTGTTTCAGTAAAATAATACTTTCTAAGGTTAGCTTTGAACTTTCCTCCTAACTAGTTTGAGGTCCCCGTGTTCTTGATCTTGGCTTCATATGGAAAATCCAGCCCTCCTGAACTTTATTCACACTCTTCATGGATTTAACCCCTTCATGGTGCCGGGAGTCTGTTTAAACAGCCCCGATGCTGGCGACGTACACTGTACGTCGTCAGTCACGAAGGGTTTAAAGGTTTCAGTCATGTCTCCCTTTACCTTCTTTCCTCAACATTTTACATAATATGCCCCCGCAGTCTCTCCTGATATGTTTTATCCTTCAGACCCTTCACTGCACTCGTATCTTATCTTTTTGAGGTCTGCAGGACTGGACAAAGTATTTGAACTGAGGTCTAGCTCAAGTTCTACAGTATATCGAGGAATCAGGAGCTCCTTCCTCCTGCTGGAGATCCCTCTAGTGATAATAAATGTCTATATAGGGGAATCAGGACCTCCTTCCTCCTGCTGGAGATCCCTCTAGTGATAACTAAAGATCTATAGAGTGGAATCAGAGATGATGGGTGCACAGTTACTCATTGTCCTTTTTTGTCTTTTCAGGTTTACCTAAAATGGAAGGAACCTGTATTCCACCAGGTACACAGCTGAATGTCTTGTAATCTTTGTGTTGTATTTGTGCTTTTTACAATAACGGGTCAGATTTGTTGAAGACTAACTCCAATTTAACCACTAAAACTTGGATATTGTTTTAAAAGTAGTGCTTTAACCCTTTTAGGGACTGAGTACATAAGGATTTGCCCACTTCAAAACTATTGAAGTAAGCTATTCTCTACATAGTAGCCAATGGCATTGCAAAAGCTGCTGGAAGCAGGTCAGGAGCGCAAATGCAGCTGTGATGGATCTAAGAAACAACTTAAACCGGTCTTAATTAAACCATCTACTCAAGGCCTTATTCACCCAGCCATGGGGAGAGCAGCTAATATGAAAACCCTTTTCCTTGACACCCTCACAAATGTTTCACTTCCCATCTTCAGTTAATCACCTATGACAGCATGGTTTACGAAAATCAAAGTGGGAAAAGCCACCATTCCAATTAGTTGATTTAGCTGTTTGGCTATAAATATATTACAAGTGCACATAATATAAGTACACACTTTTGGCAAAATGGCCACTGAGGTCCTCTCAAAGCACCATTTAAAGTAAAGCCATTTTTTATATTTAACCCTTTCACTCCTCATCTGATCTGCATTCTGTCTCTAGTGACCGGCCTGTATATTAAAGGAGAACTATGGGGTCAGGGCTTTTCCCCATAGTTCTCCTAAGGGTAACGGGAGGATACAAACTAGCGTCCTCCCGCCACCCAAAGCTTAGTATACCGTGAGCTACAGCTCGCGGTATACTGAGACGCGCAGCCGGAACGGATCCCGACAATTATGTCTGGATCCACCCAGCTGCATGAGTGACAGCTGGCTCTGCCTATCTAGAGGCAGAGCCATCTGTACCCGCCCCCTCCCCGTCCGTTCCGCCAGTCCCTCCCGTCACGGTTCTCTGCCGACACAGGATCGAGTAGTGAGCGAACGCCGGTATGTGTTCGCTCACTTCCCGACCTACTGAGCCGACATGTGATAGTTTCATTGTCACAGGTCGGCTCAGATTATGAGGCTGAGTGAAAATCACTCACCTCATAGTTCTCCTTTAACCCCTCACCTCCCTTATCCTGTATATTAATCCTCTCCATCCTCCCACACTATGTGACCTGTACAGTTTTGCATGATCGAGTACTTGTCAGTCAAACTATTACAGCCCTGACATGGCCTGGTAACGAAGGGGTATATACAGGCTGGTACTGAAGTGGTTAAGCAGATCCTTATTTTAATTGAGCTTCATTTGTTCAGTCTGCTACAGTAAGATGGACATGCGATTGTTTAGGAAGCTGCAAGATTGGCCAGAAGTGGAGCACTGAGATTGGGTGGACCCGGCAGGGCTGGAAAGTTGAAGACATTTTGTAATTCTAGCGCAGGGGAGCAGAGAGGTTGCAGAGAGCCCCTGTGATGTACGGAGCACAGCTGATAGCTGTTGGACAACAATGAGCCTTCTCTGCAGCTGTGCGGGTGACATTTCCACATACACATTGTCTGTTCTTGATTAAGCTGTGTGTGTGAGGGGACGAGGATTCTAGGAAATCTCTCTCTTGCCTCGTTTTATTGTCCACATCTGGTTCCCATTGCAGGAGCTGACAGGATCCCTCTCTACAGCTTAGAGATGGTGGTCTATTGGAAACGTTTTATTCCCCTGACCTTTGGAACTCCTTCACCATGTAACCCTTTAGCTCTAAGAACGTGAACATATTAAAAATACACGGCTCCCTTCATTCTCGGTGATGTCAGCGGTCTCTAGTACATGGATATTCTGCATTCTCAGTGATGTTACAGGTCTCTAGTACATGGATATTCTGCATTCTCAGTGATGTCACCGGACTCTAGTGAATGGATAGGCTGCATTCTCAGTGATGTCACCGGTCTCTAGTGAATGGATAGGCTGCATTCTCAGTGATGTCACTGGTCTGTAGTAAATGGATAGGCTGCATTCTCAGTGATGTCACTAGTCGATATTCCTGGGCAATACTTGGGTACCAAATGCTGCATTGTGGGCAGGCAGGGGTTTCACATTTTAATCTGTACCTAGAAATATTGGGGCATTTTACAGAGTTCAAAAGACAGATTTGGGGGGAAAGGAAGAACAGGCGAAGTAAAAACCGACTGCTCAAATTCTCTTCAGTAAAGTGCTCCTGTTACTTTGCCCTGTATAACAACAAATCAGATTCTGGCTGTAATTTGTCTTGTCCTTCCTAGAAGGTAAAAGGAAGAATGGCTTTGGGCAAGCCTTTCTTTTCTCGTCTTTATGAACACTGCCCAGCATATCTTCTATCATATGAGGGGTCTCTGTTGACTGTGTTTCTGTTTCCTCCACTTCCAGGTTATGTACGGCGTGCTGGTGACTTTCCTGGTCCTCCGATCTGTGTATATAGTTACCTGGTATGTATGCATGATTCTCAATGAAGCAAGAATGGCAATCCATAATTCGATTGGGGGCCCTTTTGTGTAGTAATATGGATATAAAGGGGTCCCCCAGCACACTTTCAAGCTCTGTTTTTCTTGCTGACTAGTTAGAAAGTTTGTTGGGGGCCCCTTTTTTTGTACTGTCACGGGTGTTAAAAGACTCCAAACACTTCCCAAGAGGCTCTAGGAATCAGAGCTTGATATTTGCTTTAGCAGGTGGCTAATAGCAGCAATCGGCCAGTTTTGTGTGGGAGTTTCTTTTTTATGGCTCATTATAGTACTGTTAGGCAGAAAAGGTCACATGGGGCAGATTTGATGAGGCGGAGTACAAGGCTCCCAATAACAAATGGGTTCTGGTGGTGTGTTCCAGCCGATATCTCTTTATGAAGTTATCCATCACGGTACATATCACTGTGTGCTGGTTGTGGCACTTCTGTTTGCAAATGGCATAATCTGCATCTCTCTTCTAATGATGCATACTGATTCTCTTTTTCAGGGTCTATCCCTGGCTCCGAGGTCTGGCTTACACCTCCTTAGGAGTATTTTTAATGGGATTCCTACTTTGGAACGTTGACAACATCTTTTGTGACACCTGGAGGTGAGTGATTATTATAGAAATATTAAACTACAGATCCTACATTTAAATTGTGTTTCCACTTTTGCAGTCAAATTTGAGAAACAAACACACTGTGTTTGTTCTGCGTTCTTCACACAACATACAGTACCTGCAAAGATTTTAAAGCAATTTTCACCTTTTAGATGTGTCTTTGATGAAGAAAGGTCTTTGTGCAGATTCCAGGCTGCTCTGAGCAGCTTGAGAGGGAACGTTGCGGGACAAACTCGGGGACAGATTGAGCTTCCTTCTTACAAATTGCAAGCGCATATTAGATAACTAAACGTGAGGTTGTAGTCCATCACGGAATAGAGCTTGGAGCGCTGGCTACTTGTGGTGTTCCCCATGGTCCCTGTGTGTGTGTGTGTTGTAAAGTAGTCACCGCTCCAAGCTCACTCCTGTGATGGACTACAATCTCAATACAAATTAGTAAACTAAACATGAGATTGTAGTCTATCACAGGAGTGAGCTTGTAGCAGGGACCACTGTACAACACACACGGGGACCCCTCATCTCATTTCGGTAATCTCCCACAATGTCTTGCGCCACGTGGCATAGTGGTTAGCGCTTCTTCCTTGCTGCACTGCGGACCCCCGATTTGAATCCCGGGCAGGACACTATCTGCAATGAGTTTGCATGTTCTCCCTGTGCTTGTGTGAGTTTTCCCCGGGTTCTCCGGTTTCCTCCTACACCCTAAAGACATGCTGGTAGGTTAATGGGCTCCTGTCTATATTGGCCCTTGTACATATGCATGTAAGATAGGGACCTTAGATTGTAAGCGCCTTACAATGTGCACTATGTAAAGCGCTGCGTAAATTGTCGGCACTATACACTGAGTGGCCAGATTATTATGACCACCTGGCGTTTGTAGGCAAATTAGCTATAATTTCGCGCTGAGGTTGCTAGAGGGCCAGACCATTATAAATAGGGAAGCAGGTTGTTTACCACGACAGTAGGAGTGATTTGTTTCTGAAGATACGGGGAAACAACGCGATATAACAGCCTTTGAATGTGGGATGATTGTTGGCGCTCGGAGCCATGGAGCGAGTATCAGCAAAACAGCAGAATTTGTTAAATGTTCAAGAGCCGCTGTTGTTAAAGTGTTTAAAGACTGGACTGTCAGCCGCAAATCTGGGTCCGAACGTGCGAATTGTGGCCGTCAGCGACTAGTCAATGTTAGGGCAGAACGGGAGAGGGGCAAGACTGGTACAAGACAACAGAAGGGCAACAGTGCAGTGTCAGATTCCTCGCATCACCTTTCATCATCTCGTGGAGTCATCTCGTGGCCCAACTAAGTACTGATGGGGTGGTCATAATAATCTGGCCACTCAGTGTATAAATACCTGTAATAATAATGTAGCTGGGTTCCAGGCTGTAGAAGAGGCTGACAAAGTAGAGATGCGCTGGTTGTGGGCGGGACATTAGGGAGGAGGGGGGTGTCTGTGAGGGAGTAGTGGGGAAAAAATCCGGCATACTAGTTTCTGAGCACGCTGCTTCTGTATGTTTGTCTGCAGTGGGAGACATTAGGAAGACGGAATGAATTGCACATGGGCATACTGGAAATGTGGTCCTCCGCATCTATTTAAACATATGTGTGTCAAATCTTTCCCCAGTAAATATGACAAAACAAAACTCATAAAATGTTATTTTCTTCCAGGAGTGTACGGCAGAAGATGCCCCCGGTCGTTGGGGCTGTGACACAGTTCCATGCCTGGTGGCACATACTGACTGGACTGGGTTCCTATCTGCACATTTTATTTAGGTAACTACCCCTTTATTGCCTTTTTGTCCAGCATTTCTTTCACAGATTCCATATCACTTATCATCAAAGTGAACTTGTGGCTAAAAGATTATACTGAATTGTACACACCCCAGCATATGCCATCTGCTTGCCCTGAAGGCTCCAGAACATGTGAGCTCACACCATGAAAAACATTTTTTCCTGCCGCCTTAGAGGATTGGTATAGTGGAATCTGCGATCAATAAAGGTAAACCGAGGGCAAAGGACACTTGTCTGTCTGCGTCCTGCAGCTAGTCTTTCCTCTTTACTGAGTTACCATGCCTTGTTCTGCTCTTTTGTGGAGACGGCCATCTTGGTAGAGGCAGGGCTTTCCTTCTTTCTGTCAGAGCTGCTCCCTCTGATGACTGATGGGGGAATGGTCAAGAAGCAGCAGGAGACATGAAGGAAGCACAGATCCATGGAATGGATTAAGCAGAATCATGGATGTCCTTGCACTGTAGGTCCTTAGTACAGCTTCCTCTCCAGCAAGGAGAACAGTGAGCAGCACATTCGTGGCATCACCAAATGTCACTCGAGATCTGGCGAGACCAGCAGTCAGAGACAGCCGTGCCTTACATGATCTCTACAGATATACCGCTATGAGGATACAGAGCAGGAGGAATTCTAGGCAAAAGTGGAATGTTCATGTTACTGCTTAGACGCAATTACCATTTCTAGATATTCCCTATAACAGATCCTCACATTTTTGAGTTTAGATAATAGTTGGCTGAGGAGTCAGCATTGCATTGTGGGATACAGGTCAGGATCAGAGAGCCTACCTTCGAAAAGCAACATTTACAATCTGCATGAAAGCTAGGTAAGGAGTGCAATGAAGCCCAACTTTTAAACAATTGGAAGATACATTATATAACACCCTGTGATGCCAGCTATTGCCTAGTATTGCTGGATTCTATGAGATTTTATTTTTATGATTTGATGATTAGTAAGGTCTTCCACACACAGGGATGCTTGTCTTGTTGCACAGCACACAATGGCACTTTTTCATAATTCTTTATGGCCTTTTCATACATCCATTGTTATTATTATTATTATCATACAGGATTTATATAGTGCCAACAGTTTGCACAGCCCCTTACAATATAAGCCTAGTACAGAATGTCACCAGTACACTAAACAATGTGGTCATCCTTTATTGACGCATATTGTCACTTAGAAGCAACATTTCGGGGCCGCGGAGGGTCCCCTTTATCGTGCACAGCGTGCCCCCAGAACATTGCTTCTATGTGACAATATGCGTCAATAAAGGACGAATACTTGAACGCATTGTTTCTTGTGCTGGTGACATTCTGTACTACGTTTGAAGCCTGAGGTACCATCCGCTGTCATTACAGCACCCACCTTTTAGGGGTTCTTCGGTAAGGCGTGCGGCAGGACAAATCCGATTACAATATAAGCCATCACCCTCTTCTTTTCCATTTCAGTTACTTCAGTGTTGCAGCTCAGACGGCCAAGTAGTATGACATGGGCAAAAAGGTCATGATCTGGGTGCTTCTGTTGAAGTTCATGTAAATAGGTCCTGTGGTCCCAAATGCTTGCAAACAAGTCTTCCATTCACCTCCATGGTAAACGCAGGTAGGGCTACCGCAAGAGCAGGTCATCCTGTACATGTAGATGCACTTCACAGCATTACAATGTACTAGGGATGGAGCTGCATGAGTCTTATGGGCATACATAGGCAGCAGAACTTGACGCATGAACGTGGCTTACAAGCTGACAGAGTTCGGCAATTTTGCCGTAGTCAGGCTTTTTTTTTTTTTTTTAATCATACATTTTGTGCTAGAAGCGTGAAAAAGTCCTTATTGAATTTTAGTGTATCGCTTTATTTTGACTGTTTTTATGTGCTTTGTTGCAGTTTGTACACTCGAACTCTCTTCCTGAAGTATCGACCAAAAGTGAAGGTGGGTACTGGGATTCTATCCAAGTGACCTCTAAGCTCCATCATGGTGTATGTTGTATATTTTATAACTAAGGATAGCGTTCAGAGAAAATGTGAGAGGGTCATCGTGGCTGCTCTATCTGTATTTTGTTCCAGAAACTTGGGTCACCTGTGCTGTGTTGGTTTGGGAAACTCAGCTTGCCCCTCAGACCAACAGAAGAGAGCGCTTCACTGCTCCTCGTAGCCAAGAACTGTCTGAAATCTGAGCCCTTACCCGATATCCTTTTTCTAAGAAATAGAGTAAGCACATCACAAAAGAGAAAATGCTGCGGCAGTAATTGCTTATATAACTAAAATCATTCGCGTTACAGTGGCCACAAGTACTGGATACATCACGCCGATCAGCCATAACATTATTACTGATCAGTGTATATCATATGTGGACATTGGCAATCAATGGAATACCAGCAATTAGCACTACAACTCATGGTTACAAAATGATACACAAATGTACAAAAGTGGATCCAAAGGCTGCCATAGTTTATATACAGGTGAAACTCGAATAATTAGAATATCGTGCAAAGTTCATTTATTTCACGAATGCAACTTAAAAGGTGAAACTAATATATGAGAGAGACTCATTACATGCAAAGCAAGATAGTTCAAGCCGTGATTTGTCATAATTGTGATGATTATGGCTTACAGCTCATGAAAACCCCAAGAACCCCAAATCCACAACCCCAAAAAACGTAGATTATTACATGCAATCAATAAAACAAGGATTGTACATAGAACAATATCGGACCTCTGAAAAGTACAAGCATGCATATGTACTCAGTACTTGGTTTGGCCCCTTTTGCAGCACTTACTGCAATTACTTTTGCACGATATTCTAATTATTTGAGTTTCACCTGTATCCATAGAACAGCAACAGATAACATCCAGAGGGGGGAATCAAAACAGGGCGGCAACGTTTTAGAGGAACAAAAGGACGCCCTTTGTCAAGCGATTTTAACCTTGTACAGTATATGTCTACCAGAGCTGCAACAGTTAATCGATTTAGTCAATTAAAATCGACGATTGAAAACGTTACCAACGTTTTCGATCGTCGATTCGTCGGCTATCGATTGATTTCCCTGTTCGGGGCTCTACACGCGGCCTGAAGCACACGCTGCTCACGTCCCGCCGTGCCCACAGGACGCATAAGCCACGCCCACCGCACGCTGCTCCCGCCGTGCCGACAGGACGCCGAAGCCACGCCCACCGTTGAAGCCGCGCACGCCGCTGCTCTCCTCCTCGACGCGATCTCCCTCACTCGTTGCTGGCCCGCCGACAATCGAGGTCAATGGTGGAATAGGTGTACGGAGCTGCAGTGTGGACCAGGTGTGTGGGGGTGCTGTGGTGGAACAGGTGTGCAGTGTGGAACAGCTGTGTGGAGAGGCAGTGGTGGATAGGGGTGCAGTGGTGGAATAGGTGTATGGGGGTGCAGTGTGGACCAGGTGTATGGGTGTGAAGTAGTGGAATAGGTGTATGGGGGTGCAGTGGTGAAATAGGGGTGCAGTTGTGGAACAGGAGTACAGGGGTGCTGTGGTGGAATAGGTACGAGTTACGCTACGCACGCCGCGGACGCCACGACCATGCCGCGTATATGCCACGCTCACCACACAAGCCGGACACACGCTCGCAGAGCACGCCGACGCCGCGGTGACTTACAAGGGTTCAGAAACAGGTAAGGGGGACCTGTTTTAATGTTTCCTGTTTAAAAAAAAAAAGCGGCACACTGTAGAACACCAGCAGCTATAGAGGAACAACAAATCCCAGCAATAATACATTAAACACCCTGTATAATGTACTATTGCTGGGACTTGTTGTTCCTCCTATAGCTGGTGGTATTCTCCATTGCGCTGTATAATGTATTATTGCTGGGATTTGTAGTTCCTCTATAACTGGTCAGTGGTAATCTGCATTGCGCAGTATAATCATTATACAGCGCAATGGAGAATACCACCAGCTATAGAGGACTACAAATCCCAGCAATAATACATTATATACAGCGCAATGCAGAGTAACGCCAGCTACAGAGGACTACAAATCCCAGCAATAGTACATATGTAGTAAAATGTAGTATTGCTACATTCCTCTATAGCTGCTGGTATTCTGCACTGCGCCGCTGTATTATGTACTATATTGCACACCACACTCTTTTTTTTACTTCTACCGCGCCAAGCTTGCTCCCGTGATGGACTACAATCTCACCACAAACTAGTAGTCCATCACTGGAGCCTTTTGTTTTTATCCGATTAACCGATTAATCGAACTTAATAATCGGCCAACTAATCGATTATGAAAATAATCGTTAGCTGCAGCCCTAATGTCTACATATGATGCATGGTACCTACTACCTGTGGCAACTGTAGAGCGGATGAGTTCATTTATGTAAATATTACTGCTTCAGTATTTCCACTTTTGTGAAGCGATTACTCTATTCTAGGGCTGGTAATGATTAAAATTTTCGTGTTCGATTAATCAAAATTTTTTTTAATCGATTAATTTCGATTAATTATAAGGCACATACAGACCCAACTACATTGGCCTATACACATACAGCACAGCAATGAAGTAATAAAATGAACTAGGATCACACTAATCCAGCACGTTATTAATCTCACGTGCCCCACTCAATATGGCCGCCGCTTGAGTGGGGCAACTCAGAATAATAACGTGCTGGATTACTGTGATCCTAGTTCATTTTATGACTTCATTGCTGTGCTGTATGTGTATAGGCCAATGCCGTGGCTGGCGCTCGTGCAGAAAGTTTCTTGGGCAAACTCACCGGCCCAAGTGGCTCCGTCGGCTAACGAAGAGGGAAGGAGTCCGTTGACGTCACCGGACTCCTCCCCCTTCGCTAGCCGTCACGGACATTGACTTCACCGGACTCCTCCCCCCCTTCGCTAGCTGACTGAGCCACTTGGGAAGGGGGAGGAGTCCGGTGACGTCGATGTCCATGATGTCACCGGAAGCCGGCGGAGAGGCGAGTGTTTTCATTAGCGATCAAAATAATTTTAATCGATCAAAAAGTTTAACGATTAATCGAGAAATTAATCTTTTAATTTCCACAGCCCTACTCTATTGCAATAAAAACTAGTTTGCTGGATCTATGAGATAAGACCTATTGTGTATAGAGCACCTGGGGCAAAACAAACCGATTGCGAATTTCTCTTAGTATGGATTAGGTGTTTAAACCTAATTAGTCATGCTCAGCGGACTAATTGTGTGTGTAGGCCCTGCTATAAATATTCATTCAGTCTCTATGCTAGAACCAGTCTGCACCCCAGCACTGTTGATGTCATATCAAGGCCCTCGGGTCAACCGTAGAAGTTAATAAATTGCTGACTGGTAGTCATTTCATAGTCCCCTTCCCAACAGGCATAGATGTTTTTTAAATTGATTCCATCGAGGAGAGATTTTGCTGAAACTCAAAAGTGGTACTGTCGTTGTCTCATCAAGTAGGGGATGGAATGGGTGAATTCTAGATTGCATTTGAACCAAGTAACTCCGGACCTAGATAGACCTGGGAGTTCTCCTTGAAGAAAGAGTATTTTGTCAATGAAACCTCCAGCCTGCATTTGAACACTATCAGGGTTATTCACAAAGCGGTGAAGAGTTTGGAGAAGTCGGGAGAAGTGAACAATCTAGGCCAACATCGCTGAACTGGAAAGTGAGCTAAATTGGAGAATGTTTCCAGTTCAGCGATGTTGTCCTAGATTGTTCCCTTCTCCTGCCTTCTCCAAACTCTTCACCCTTTTGTGAATAACCCTGTATGTCATAGTTGACAGTGATCACATGATTGGAGACAACTCTGTTTCCTGATCATCACCAGGGACTGGAGTTATCAGTAAAAGCTGGGATTGAGAGCAAGTGTCATCTGGTGGCTTTCTTAGTGAGGACAATTATTAAAGTGACACTACACTGAGGAGTTAAATCTTAAAAATACATTCAAGTGCCTTAACTATTAACACAAATGTATCTTATTTGTGTATCACTCAGCTGTAGATCCTCCAATCATCTCTGAATTGGTAGCCCCTGGAGGGGGGCTACTTTTGTTCCCCATGGTCCCTGTGTGTGCTGTAAAGTAGTCACCGCTCCAAGCTCACTCCCTTCAATACAAATTAATAGGGATGCACCGATACCGGTTTTTCGGTATTGAGTACGAGTACCGATATTGGTTTTTGCCGATAACAGATACCGGAAGTACCATTAAGGAAGCCAGGCGGCGTGTAAAGACTCGCCATCTGGCTTCCTGATTAGCCAGGCAGCGTGTAAAGACTCGCCACTCGGCTTACTGATTACCAGGGAAGCCGTCCCCATGCTTCTCGTCACTAGGTGACTAGAAAGCATGGAGCCAGCTTCCTGACCAACCAGGAAACCGGGCAGCGTGTAATGACTTGCTGCCCGGCTTCCTGATGTCTGAAGCTACAGTATCAGGCTAGGTATCGGAGCATTTGGGGTCGCCCAAATAATCGGCATCGATACTACTGTAGTATCGTTGCATCCCTACAAATTAGTAAACTAAAGATGAGATTGTAGTCCATCACAGGAGTGAGCTTGGAGCGGTGACTACTTTACAACACACACAGGGGACCATAGGGAACACAAGTAGCCACCCTCCAGAAGGAAGGACAGTGTCAGCACCAATTCAGAGATGATTGGAGGATCTACAGCCGAGTGATACACAAATAAGATACATTGTTGGTAACAGTGAAGCTACTTGAATGTATTTATAAGATTTCACTCCGGAGTTTAGTGTCACTTTCTCTTCCCCAGCTTGGGACATCATTCCAAAGAACGTCATTACACAGATTCTGACAGAAGCATCCAAATAAAAGGGCATTGCAAGCTGTCCATCCAAGCATGTAGAGCGGCGGCTTCGAACCCGCAGTGAGGTGTTTCCTTGTTTTTGATTTCTTGTTTTTCCTTTGCACAGTTCGTGTTCGGCATGTGGCCGGTGCTGATGGTGGAGACTTCCAAGAAACACTGACGAAAGCGCGATGGAAGAACTGCGCACAAACATTCCAGACCGTTTCCTGGCAGAGCGTAACACAAGGACACCCTATCTCCAGCGTTCTATGCATTGATTATGGACATTACATATATGCACCTATGTATAGCTACAAATACACGTGTGTGCATACTTCTGACCGTGTGCGCACGCCTTTTATACCAAGGTATATAACTGTTGGTTGCACTGGAACTGCCAGTTATAGAAGGAAAGAACTTTATGAACTTTCTTGTTTGGTTTTTGACATTTTCCGATAAGTCAGGGATTGCCCTTTATCTTACTACTACTACTTACTCTCCAGACTGCCTGTCTCCGCCCCCCCTCCCCAAATAATCGCTTCCAAAACTCCCTTACTTCCAACCCCCTCCCCCCCCCTGTACTCCCCTAAATCCATGGTCATGTGACGTCCCGGATCTTTTGGGAGGAGGGGCTAAGTTTTACCTGGAGATAGGCTTTAATACAGCCCAGACATCGTTGACTCTTTAATGGGCCACCCTAAAAAAAAAGTCCAGTGATCCCGGTATCCCACTCTCATCCTAATCCCGGGTGACATTTTGCTCACAGACTGTTGGCTTTTGTCAGAGGGAGGTCCAAGTGACAAGCTGTTTGGCATAGTGTCCTAAAAGTTCCATCTGCAGCATTTGTATTTAAAGACTCTGCCTCTAAAATCTAACTGTGAATAAAAGGAAAAAGGGCAGTGAGTAGATGCCCCTCCCACTGCCCGTGCCACCCGCAGGCTGCTGTAATGAAGAGAAATCGACACGTGCAGACTCTAGAAACAGCCACTTCCAGGAGTGTTGATCTCCTGGTCCCCTCCCGCTGCTGTCAGTGGTTCCTCCCACTAATGCCTACTTCTGTTCATCAGGCAGTTGGGATGTAGGGGCCGGCGGGAGCTACCACTGACAGCTGCAGGGGGCTAGAAGATCAGCACACTTGCAGAGAACACTTTTATTCACAGTTTATTTTAGCATCAGAGTTGCTTTAAAGAAGGGGTTTGCAAACTCTGGCCCCCAGCTGTGGTGTAGCTACAAATCCCATTAAGCATTGCAAGACTCTGACAGCCACAGGCCTGACTCCCAGTAACTAATCGATAATGAGCATAGTTTACAACTATTCTTATCGATTAGTTGGTTGCAGCCCTAGATTTGTAGTTTCATCACCGCTCAAAGGCCTACCTCTGTTTTTTAAAGGGTTAGTTCACCCTTGTTGCTTTAAAGCGATTACACGTACTATGGATTCCAGTCCTCATGTGCATAGTCATTGTTCTGTAAAACTCTTCATTCTGATATCCCAGATTTCATGGCAAAGGACATGCAATAGCCACAGCTGGCCTACAGGTAGGTGATATGAAGGACTCTAAATTCCTCTTAAATGCACTGTGATTTAAACATTACCCATATGATGCACTGGAAGGCTTATTAGAAATGTGAACTAACCCTTTAAATAACAGCCCCACTCAAAATAGGTTTTTACTGTGGTCTAGGATGAATGGAACATGGCTTTCTGCTGGATTTTCACTGCCTCATAGTATCCAGCAGGGGCAGAGCACCGGCCTTTGTCTGCAGCCCAATTCTACATACTATATGAGAATTCACCAGAGGGGACCACAAATTGATGATATTTGGCCCAAAACTGTCAGTGTTTATTTTCCTGTTGTAGTTGGGGGGATATTTTGATGCAACATCAGCCTGATAGAACCATGGATAATGGCTGCGTTTTGGAGCTGAGTTTGAAGGGGTTAGCTTTAAGATTCAGGTTAGGGGTTAATTTGAGGTTTGGGGTTTGTTCACCTCGGATTTGATTGAGAATGCATCCGGTATCACTTGCAGTTTAACACGTTTTAATTTGCTTTGCAGTGTGATGTGTGAGCGTCTCCTTTCGGCTGTCTTTAGTGGAAAACTGTAGGTCAGTGCACACGGAGCTGCAGCATGTAACATATTTTTTTTTTTAAGGAGAACTATGAGGTAAGTGAAAATCACTCATCCTCATAGTTCGGGCCGACGTGTGACAATGAAACTGTCACACATCGGCTCAATAGATCGGGAAGTGAGATGACACATACCGTCGCTCGCTCACTTCTCGATCCAGTGCCTGCTGAGAGCTGTGACTGTCACTCAGGCTCCCTGCAGGGATTCCCCCCTCTCCCCGCTCCGATCCTCCAGTGCTGACTGGTGGAACGGACGGGGGAGGGGGCGGGCACAGCTGGCTCTGCCTCTAGATAGGCAGAACCAGCTGTCACTCACGCAGCTAGGTGGATCCAGACAGCAATGTCGGGATCCGTCCCGGCTGCGGCGTCTCAGTATACCGCGAGCTGTAGCTCGCTATATACTGAGCTTTGGGGTCACAGGAGGACGCTAGTTTGTGTTCTCCCGTGACCCTTAGGAGAACTATGGGGAAAAACACTGACCCCATAGTTCTCCTTTAAGCTGAACTCCAGGCAGGCTCACTCCTGTGATGGACTACATTCTCACGTTCAGTTTACTAATTTGTATTGAGATTGTAGTCCATCCCGGGAGTGAGCTTGGAGCGGTGACTACTTTACAACACACAGGGACCATGGGGAACAAAAGTAGCCCCCCTCCAGAAGGAAGGACAGTGTCAGCACCAATTCAGAGATGATTGGAGGATCTACAGCTGAGATACACAAATAAGATTACATTGTTGTTAAGTTACCTGAATGTATTTTTATAGGGCATGACTCCTTTCTGTGCTGCTGCTGAGCTTGCACTGTCCACAGGCAGGGGCATGACCAGGGTGTATTCCTGAACCATAGAAGAGTCAAGTCGGGTCTCTCTGTGGCTGCGCTGTGTGAAATAGCTCCCATATATGCATGTCATCTGTGTGTTTGTGTCTCTGGAGTTCAGCTTTAAAGGGAGAGTAAAATGTGCTCCTCCAAATACATAGAACCAGCATGTGGCTCTGCAGGTGTCACACGCCGGCTCCATAGATCTACAGCTGAGTGATCACAAAAACGGCTGCCCGCTCAGCTCACAGTCTTCTCCCTACAGAGAGCGCTCCTTGGCGGGACAGACATGGAAGGGGGCGGGCATAGGTGGCTCAAGAGAGGCAGCGCCAGCTGTCATTCAGGATCCCAACTATATGCTGCAGCACGGCTCTGGGCTGTAGCACACTAGATACCGGTAAATATTCTCCTGTGACCCAAAAGAGGACTAAAGCCAAAAAAATAAGTTTTGCTTTGCTTTCTCTTTTAAGCTTAAGGTGTTATAAAGATTATTTTCTGTTCATTGAAGGACACAGCGGACATCTTTAGCTCTTGACCTTTGCTACCAGAGGTGGGAGATGAAGATTTCTTCTGTGTCCTTCAATGAACACAGAGAGAAGAATCTGACAGCGAGAACAATAATCCCTTTTTCTTTTGGGTATAATACATTAGTGCCAAACCTGATGCAGCCAAAATAGTTTTTGTATTATCATACTGCAGGAATACTACGCCCTCTCTTGCACAGTTCATGTGTATGGAGAACCAGGTTGGGATGGTGACAAAAGTGGCTTCACTGGAAAAACCGAGCACTGGCAGCTTTGCTGGGGGAGGATGGAGATGTCCCAGCGGGATCCATGCATCCCTTCTCTCTAACACAGATATCCTCTTTAGGTGGAAACGTTTTATAAAAAAATCAGAGAGCTTGTTTATAAAACTGTAGAGGATGCAAAATGAGGTGCACAACATGCTGACCAATCGGGTGCTCGCGTTCTCCTTCTGACCTGCACTGACCGCTGGGATCTCATTGGTTGTTTTGGGCAGTGTGTTTCTTTGCCAAAGTTTGTATC